AAGATTTTTGTTGTAAGTTCTTCTCTGTTCCCCACATGCTAAATTCAGAGTATGATTTTTTTTTAGGGTTGACAGAGATTAAAATTCAGCCTCTGACTCAGAATTTAGGTTTTTAGCTGTAGACTGATCTTGCCCTGTTTTTGCTGACAAAAGGATTGTGGTAATCAATTTGTGCCATGAAACAGTTTCCTAAACCATGGTGCTGGCAGAATACGGTATGTAATGTGAATAATTTCCCCATTGGTGCAGTGTTTAATTAAAATAATGGTTTGTGTTTCTTGAGTTTTAAAACTAGGATTAAGAGAATTTCCCCCAAGTTAATTTCTTGTTGCAATAAAGTCTAAAATATGTTTATAGTAATTTATTTGTACTAAGTCCAAACTGATTTCAGTCAAGCCTAGTAAGTAGGGTTAAAAATGCACACATATCTTTACAGGATTGATATCTTAATGCCTCTGACGTGACCTCTGTTTCTGACAATGAACTTTGGAACTGAAGAATGACTCCAGTAGCAATTCCCTATGACCTCCTACAGTGGAGTAGGCTTCATGAAATTTACATACTAGCCTGTCACACAACTATTTCTGTGTGTATGCAGGTGATAAGCAGCATTCCAGGACTACAAAATGCAATTATGAAATAAAGCAAAACTCTCATTGTTGGCAATGAGACATTCATCTGCTCAGACATCATATTGCTAAAAAAAATCCTGTTGTGTGTGTCAACTGCAAGTGCAAACTCATTTAGTAACATAGATTTGGGGAGGGGGCATCTGAAATTTTGGGCGAAACAAAATTCACTTTTAAGGGGTTTTGGGTAGGAATACAGTGATACGCAGTTACACTCAATCTAATCAGACAGTTGGGTTTCTGTTGTGTATGTATTATAACCATATTTAATGCATAACATGTAGTTTTTGCTTTTGTGAATGCCATTCTATAGTTCTAGCAACACATGGCAGCTTTGAGATTCTATTTCTTGTGTCCAATGCTAAATGTAGCTATTGCCCAAGATTTTAAAAGCTTCAAAGAGAGAAAATGCTAGTAATTCTTTGTAAAATATTACAAATATTCCGTTTATAGTTTCATCAACACACAAACATATTATTAGACATTTTAAAGTCTTATAGCATTCAGGTTTTTTTAAAGAGCTGTTTTTTAAATAACATGGCAAAATATTTCAGAATTGGGACAGCTGTGATTCAGAGGTGGGGGGCAGAGCTCTGTACCCCACCTTCCTGCCAGGGCAGAAAGATGGAAAGGACTGCTGAGTAGAAAAATGATGCTGCCCAGTCCATAAAGGGACTTCCTGGATTTTGGCCTTTATTACCAGAAATCAAGAGTGCCATCCAGTGAAACTTAAATGCAATGAACTGCTGGCCTGTGCATGTTTACTTGGAATAAATCCCAGGTAATTGCGCTTAGTAATATGACCTTAGTGCTGTTGAAATCAATGTGCTTCTAAGCATGCTTATTCAGAAGTTGCATTATATTCACTGGAGCTTGCTTCCTAGTAAGCTCTGTTAAACGGTCTGACTGACATCTGAGTAAAAATGCATAGGATTGATTTCAATGGGATTTAGTTATGACCAGCCACCAGTGGATTGCACTCTGTAAGCAGTAGTGTGATCAGTTAATATGGTTTTTTAATAGCCTCAGAATAACAGGAAAATGCATTATGCTAAAACAGAAGAAACTTGATGTATTGTTTGACTAATTTTCTGTACCTTTCTTCCTTAAAAAATAACTGGGATGTGTACAATATTTATTTTTCAACATTTATGTTTTATTTTGGTAGATTTTTTCCTTTAACAATCTACTGTATCAGATGATGGAAAAAACTAAAGACAAATACATTTTTAACCATTTAACACATTAAAAAAGATTCTAACAGATGGGAGAAAAGGCACTTCACTATTTCACAATACTTACAGGAAAAAGAAATGAAAGCAACTTTATTTCTTTGGGGAGAAATGCATTTGAATATACTCTGCAGACAAGGGAAAGCTTACCAGCAGTACTTGAAGAATTGTGAGTTCTGACTGCATGTTACTTGAAAGATCTTACTAAGCTACTCTTTTTGGTGCACAGCAGTTATTGTACATGATTTCATGTTTATGTAGCAAGATGCATTGAAATTGTATTGAAACATACGTGTAAAGATTGTTGTTGTGGAGATGGTCTGTTCTGTTTTTTTATTTTTCTTGTATGTGTCATATGTTTAGACCGTAAATGTTCCTTTAAAAATGTCATAACTGATTAAGACAAAATGGATTACTGTCATTGAAAATATATTTTAAATTTGTCATGATTTTTTTTCAAAATATATTATTACAAAGTGTATCGTTCCTGATAACACAGAACATTGTGGATGGTTTTAAATAAATTTTATACTTCTATTTTGCACTCGGTTGTCTTAATTTTTCTTTCCTGTATTTCTTAAGCTTTTCTCTGTAGTAGATCTGCTTTTGTACAACAGAACCTTTATCCACATAAACACGTGTCTCATTCCTGCAAACGTAATAAAAGTGTATTTTGATAACAGCTGATAGTGGGCTGCTAACTTTTTTTTGCTGCCACTTACTCCTACTGGATCTGCAGCCATTAGTAGGTAAGAATGTCGTTTCCATGCCATGAGAAACGCTTCTTGTTGATTTCTGTAAACAACATGGAGCAGGACTCGATGTCTTTTTCTAGTTAAATGGTGATACTAGGTACAGACTAAAGTTTATCACGCTATTTTACATTTATTTAGTTCAGGCAGATTGCACTGACTTAGTTTGTGTAATCAACAGAATAAGACTTGATAAGGGAAGTAACTGGACTAGGATTACAGAAATTTGAAAACAAAGACAAAAAGTGGAATTATGCAAGTAGAAAACAATTTAGTGAGAGCAAAATAATACCTTTGGCAGCCAGATTATACAGCACACAATCCCATTCCCTTTATTAAAACACCTTCTTGAACCACTGCATTATAATATAGCCTCAATTGCTTCAAGGATGCAAATGTTATGGGGATGAGATCTGTCCTGACCATTTCCCCAATACCCACTTGGGTATATTGTGATTGGGTTACCTAATAGACTGGTTTTCTTCTGTGTCCCATAATGGTAGACACTTGTCTGCCTTTGTACTGAAGGCCAGTAGAGTGGTTCCCTAATTTATTGTGTGGCTGATGCCTAGGCCACCCTATCTCATGAGATCTTGGAAGCTAAGCAGGTTTGGCCCTGTCTAGTATTTGGATTGGAGACCACCAATGAACACCAGGATCATGATGTGGAGGCAAGCAATAGCAACCAACCTCGTGAGTATCTCTTGCCTTGAAAACCGTACGGAGTTGCTGTAAGTCAGGTGTGACTTGATGGCAGATTCTACCACCAACTTGTGCTCTGCCAACTGCCAACCGACCTCCACCCCTTTTGACTTAATTTATAGATCTCACATTTGAGAAAATAGCAAATTCTGCCAGCCAAATAGCCCTCCATTTAAAACTGATTCAGGGGGGCACATTTAAGACCAAATGCAGTTTCAGGATGTCTCCAGGCCCCACTTGAAGGTTGCCAACCTTAGATTAGTCCAAGAATCTAAAGACCTTAACGGAAAGCAGCTTTCCTTCTGCAGATGCTATAGTATCCAGTAAATTCTCCATAATTTGCTTAATATGTCCTCACTAGGCTGAACCAATGAGCTGTGACATCCATGTCTGGTAGGATCATGATTAAAATGTTAGAAGTCCAAGTATAACAACATGACGTTTCATATCTAATAGGAGTGACTGCAGGTTGGGTATTCTTGGAACTAAGAGAGATCTAATTAAATTGATATAATATGCATAAAATATTATAACATAAAAGCAAAGTTCACCCAGGATGTTTTCTAATCGTGACAAGTAAGGAAACTACAAAAATACTCCAAAGAGGGTGACACAAAATATCTGAAGAAGAGTGCTTGCACATGAAAGCTCATACCTTGAATTAAACTTCGTTGGTCTTAAAGGTGCCACTGGACATAAGACAAAATTCTTGGTTGAACATGTCTTTCTTAAATGCTTAATAGCCCAGACTCATTTAACCAAATGTTAGATCCACCATCAAGCCATTCAGGAGTCAAGACAGGAGATATTTTGGCTATGCTGGTGCTTGTTATTGCTATGTCCTCGTTCATTCTGATTTGTTTAATTCAAAGTGTCAATAGAGGAGCCCATTACATGTAAGTAAAAGCACAGGATTTACTAAAATTGCATGACTCTGTTCTAACGCTGGCTTTATTATCTATTTAGGAAATGCCAATGCCACCTTGCCAGAGAACCGGCTCAAGGCATTGCTTATAAAATAAAACGTAATAAAAATATTAAAAAATACCTAATTTAAAAGACAGCCAGAGTAAAAACAGTACATTACACACCCTACCACAAATTTGTTAGTCTTTAAGGTGCTACTGGACTCTTTTCTACAGCTACAGAGGGCTACCCATCTTGATGAGTCTCTAAAAATGAGTGTTGCGGTGTCCGCAGCCAACTCGTCACTGTTTCTCTAAGGGAGACCCTTCTTGGCGAGCTTTGGCAGCTTCAGCTTCATGGCCTTCTAGTCGGACACCTGCCCTGCGTGCAATCACTGGTGCCCTAAAGTAAAATGGCACTAGCCTCATCAGCCTCCGAGCAAGATGGCGGCAACACGCACGTCGTCCCACGAATCTAACAACATTTTCCTTTTCCCCGCCCCCTTTTCTGGCTTCTCTATTCTTCACTGTCTTCCCGAGCTTTGAGAAAGCGCAACGCTTCCTCAGCGCACGCGCACTACCACCGCCTCCATTGTTTTGGAGACTGTGATCCCATCCTCCCGGAGCACGTGTGCTAGGCGCAAGGAGGAGACGGGGAAGTGGGGGAAATAACCGCGTGTCTAAACGTCATCAATATGCGCGAGGTCTGCTGCGAACCTATTCTAGCTCCGGTTTGCGCAGGGGGGGTTCTTTTGGCGCATGCGCTGTGGCTCGGGGTGTGAGTTCGTGATGTTGGGGGGGGGGTGCTGCCTGGAGGAGTTTGAAATGGCCCCTGTGAGTCCCTTATTCGGCTCGGTTCAGGTGAAGGGTCAACGGACGGGGCGGGAGGGAAAGCGAGGCGAGACACGCGCGTGTACCGGTACCAGTCCGGGTTGGCAGTTAGGGAAGAGAGACGCTTGAGAGTTCCTTAGCGCCCCCTTGGGTAGGCGAAGAGGGACGGGCTCTCCTGGGCGGGAGGCAGGCCTCGGCCCCGCATATGGGGGGGGGGGGGGGGGGGGAGGAGAAAAGGCCGCGCTGCTCATTGCCTGGAGCCAGGCCGGGCCCCACATGGCCCAAAAGGGCAAAAGTACAAGGCTGCTGGTAGCTTAGCCCCAAAGGAGGCCTAGATTTGGCCCTTAGCCTCTTTCCCCCTCGTCTTTTCCTCCGCGCCTCCTGTGTCTAAGGGGGCGGGGAGGGGAGAGAGATGATTCCCCTGCTTGCTTCGCTCTGTGTATTCCCCCTACCCCCAGCTCTCTTGCGCCTTCTTCTGAGGCCTGTGTTTCCTTGTCGAGCTTCTATTCTACAAACAAAGTGCGTGGAATTTTCTTCGCCTCTGTTGTTTTGCAGCATGTGTGCATGTTCCCTCGGGAAGAAGTTGGGCTGCATTCAGTGGCGCTTGTCTATAGGATTGCAGGATCATTTGACGCTCTAAATCCTGGCTTCTTGGAACCTTCCCTTTAAAGGGATTTTTTTTTTTAACATCTCCTTTCTTCAGTCTTTTACCTTTCTGCAATCTTTTAAAAGATGCGGGCGGAATCCTCATGTGCTAGTTTGTTGCATCTGAATGCACAACGTATTTTGTTACTGTATATCTGAGGCTTATAGTTTATTCAGGGTGTGCCCTTTCTGCTGGATTCGACATTCGACATTCTTTTTATGGCACAATTGCTTGGCAGAAGGTTCCATGCTTCTCACAATTAGTATACCTATATTTAATTTCTGCACCATTCTAAACTTAGTAAAAACAGTTTCACTTATATGAAGGAAACACTGGTCTCACTATAGATAAAGGGACTGGATAAGGTATATCCTCACTTTGAAAAGAGTTCACAAGTGGAAACTTTATGAAGATGGTGTGCTAGAATAGGAGTGTTGGCCAGAAGTGTGTTACAGTGTTGTCACAGGCAAGAGTTCTGACTACTTTGCCCAGCTGTCTTATGTGCCTGTGCTGCCTTCTTTGAGATCTAATTGAAGATTAGAATTATGTATCTCTCAAACACTTTAAGCTTTCCTGGTTGGAATACAGGATTTATAGCAGTGAGTTCCATTAGTTACACATGTTGTATGTGGGAAAACTAGTCTATCTAACTGGATTAATACTCCCAGAAAGGACTGCATATTCATGAAACTGTCTATTTTAATAGATCGCAATTTTAGAAGAATAAAGAGCCAAAAGATTCTCACTTACCATGGCTCAGTTCGGAGGGCAGAAGAATCCCCCTTGGGCTACCCAGTTTACAGCCACTGCGGTATCTCAGCCAGGTCAGCTTTTCCATTTCTTCTTAACCAGTCCATATTTACTGTTGTACTGTAAGGTTTCATATGATTGTCATAAGCAAAGCATGGTGTTTATTGCATAAGGCCAAAGGCCATTACAATTAAGATACACAAAAGGGACAGATGGCTACAGCAAAAACAAGAACGCAGTGTTAAAATTCTTTAAAACACTTAATGGAATAAAATTAAAGCACAATTAATGTGCTGTGTAGCTTTGCATTTCTATGCTCAAAGAGACCAGAAACATGTTTTTGATAACACAGTGCATTGACATACTGGCACAGGTTGTATATGGATTTAGCCTGGTGTGCACTGTTAGTTCAGTTTCACAGGGGTGTAATTCTTAATTTCATTATTTTTTGTGTATGTTTTTGTGTAGAAACATGAACTTCTTGTGCTCCTTTAAGGTGATGATGTTGAGGCCTCCATGCTGTTTCTAAACCTAAAAAAAAAAGTTCATTGTTTCTTTACCATATTTACTACAATTCAGTGGGGTGGGTGGGTTTCAGTTGACAACAAGATGAGCTTTAAGGAGTATTTGCTTTCAGCTGTATTACTAACACTAGGTATATTTTTAATAATCATTCAAATAACTATGTAGTCCTATGCAGAGTTACACCCTTCTAGAGATGTGAAGGTTTGGGCAAAACCTGGAAAAATTCAGGGTAATTTTTGCAAACAGTGAAAAACTCCTATGATTTTTTTATTCCTTTTGAAAAGAGTGAAACAAAAGACATGGCTTTATTCAAAACATAAAATGTATAAAAATTATATAATACAATCTACAGCATTAGGCAATTCGTAAGTACACTGTAGACATGTACAGTGTTTTTAAAGGTTTTTTGCTTAAATGTAAATAGTTTTGGCAACAATTATATGCTATACTGTGTTTAATGATAATACATTTTTAAAGAGGTCAGTGTTTTCCAGGTTAGGATCACTGTTCCCTCTAAGCTGAGTTAGTGTCAGCTAGCTCACAGTTTTTTAGCCTCTGGCTCACACATTTTTGTCTTTGCTCAAGAAGGATGGCTCCAGAGCAAACTAATTTATGCAGCAGCCAAATCGCTCGCTCACAACTTTAATGCTAGTAGCTCACAGACTAGAATGTTAGCTCACAAGACTCCACAGCTTAGAGGGAACATTGGTTAGGATGTTTAATGTAATACCCAGATAATACTGGTAGTTCTACTTATGAGTTGTTTCTGTCCAAATAATACACTTACTTTGATTAACTGCAGAATTTGTTTTCTGTCTTCTGTTTTAATTTTTTCCTACCTCCCAGATGGGAAAAATTAAGGTACATGTGCTATGCTTCATAGGATGCAGCTGCAGCAGTTTGCAGTTTTCTCAAGTATTTGGTATACTTCCCCCCCCCCATTTTTTTTGAGAAAACAAAGACACTTGTAATTTTTAATTCCATAAATATGCCAAAGTGTGCAATTTTCTATACTAAGTTATATATGTTACATTTTATTTTGATAAATCAGTAAAAGAACTTTATATATTTAGCTTTTCTGGGGAGAAAAAGATTGTTTAATTGGCTTGAAAATTTCCAGAAATTTTACATCCCTCCACCGTTCTGAGCCAATTGACGTCAGTGAAGATGGAAGGACATAGCTCTGCTTTGGACTGCAATGCAAACCACCACCCCCTCTCCCCAGACAAAAATCTGACATTTCTTGCAGCAGATAATTATGCTTCCCTGTAATATGATTATAGAAATCTGGCATTCCAGTGAGAAGTTTTAGCATCAAGGAGTTCACTATACCATATGACATATTATATCTGCACATTCCTGTTTGGCTTTGAAACCAGCTTTTCAATGTTGTTTTGAGTTAGTTTTTAATGCCAGCTCCTCTTTTTAAACATGAAAGTAACCAGTTCTGCATTGTTCTGCAAAATGTCTTTGTTGTTTCCTGCTGGATCATTTCTTCTAAAATGAAGACTTCTAAGGGATTTTTCCAGATGACAGAGAATGTGCTTTTTGTGGCTATTAGTGTTAATGAAACATTAGATTGGGCCTGGCTAATATTTTGTCATTTTGATGTAAAATAGCCATGTTAAGTATATGTGTAGGATAATTGTTTGTCTGTTTTATTAACTTTTTTTATCCTGGCTACATAAAAACTTGAGTGCTGAAAGGAGAAAGGGCACATTATCTAAATTGGAAAATGGTCATAATAATAGGATGTACTCTTTTTAAAAGTGGTATTTTTGAGTTTCAGTTTCCATAACAGCATTTTGGATTCTTTTGGTCCCTGCTAGTACTCTTTTGGAATTTTGTTCAGAATTTGAAAAAATTTCAGATTCATGGTTCCCTATGGGGGGAGTATTTCCAGGGTGCTGGAATGGCTGTTTTTCAAGAAAATGACATCAAAATTGTAGGGAACCTAGTCCTTTCTATCCACTAAAGACACCCCCCCCCCAGTTTCAAGTGAATTAAATAAAAGTGAATTGGATCAAAGGATCCAGTGCTACATGCTCCTGAACAAGGTGTCGCCAACCATCATACTTGTCTCCATTGTTTACTGTGAGGGGAAAAAATGCTTTCTTCAGGGCAAAGAAGCCAGTAGCCAAACACAAGAAAAACCACTTGCCAAAAGCCTCCAAATGGAATTAAAACCAACAAGCCCAATAGGACCAACATTATGTCAGAAAACAACAGCAGAACCATGGGTCAATATGGCAGGTTGAACACAATCAATGTCATACTAGAGAATCCAAGCCAAACTAGTTTAAGAAAGGGACACCATTGTAAGTGCAACCAATGTCAAACCAGAGAACCCAAACAAACCTGGCAAGCCAGTAGCAAGGCAGTGAGCCAAACCTGGCAAGACACTAACACACAGACACACACACTAACATCACGTCCTCAAGGAAGGCCTCAGAAAGCAAGAGGGAAGGGGGTTTCTCATTCTACAGCTGACAGGAGGAGTCTCCACCTTTCATCACTGGCACTCCTGTTCCCACCCACTCCTGTAAAAAGGAAAACACAACACCAATACACCATGCATGAGCTTCATTTTAGGTACTTCTATGGGCTCCGCTTGTTTCAATTGTGATACTCATTGCCTTGCGTAACATGTCTTGTTCAATTAATATTTGGAGGGGGCTATCTGTGAGAGTGGCAAGAGCAACATTTTTAGTACCATATTTATTTTCTGCATAGAACTGTGCCAAGAGGTGCTGAGCGTCACCAACATCTCACCCCCCGTGCCACACGGCAACTAGGTCTCAGTAGAGGGTTTTTTAAAAAGTTTTTTAGAACACAATTTTGAATGTGGATTTTATGTAACTTCCCTGCTGTTTCTTTGTACTTCTGAGTTTTATGTTATGAGAGGAGCATTTTTCTCCAACTCTGCAACACTGACTGAGAGGATATAGGCATAAGCATGCTCTCACTGCACTCATTGTCAGAGTCCAGGACTGGGTAGTTGAAGAGCCACAACTTGATCTCCAGGAAGAACTATTCATTTATTTATTAGTGTTTTTTTTTAAGTCACTGCTCACCCAAAGGGTCTTTCAGAGACTTAAAACATTAAAACCAACAATATAAAAATATAAAATATTAACATTAAAATATTGAACTATCAAAAACTTCCCAAACATGTGATTACTGCCAACCTAAATAATTAGGCCTTGTATGCCCTGCAGAAACTAAACAAGTCTGGCAGGGCATGGGTGTCATCTGAGAATGCATTCCACAGGGTAGGGGCCACAACTGAGGAGGCCCTTCCCCTGGTGACAGCTAACTGAGCCATCCTGGGGCCGGGCACCTGCAAAAGGTCCCTAGAGGATGACCAAAAAGAGTGTGGAGGGTTATAATGGGAGAGGCCTGGTCAGCCTTCCATGGGAGCAGATGTGAGTGGTGCAAGCAAACAGTGTTGCCCATCTGGGAGGAAATACGCTCCTCTGTGTGCTCGTTGGAGGGCTTGAGAGGAGACTTCAAGCCACAAGAGAGAAGTGGAGCCAGAGTGTCTCTTCCCTAGTCCAGTGGATCGGTGACACACAACTTGTAGGGCTGAGATAGGCCAAAAGTACCAGAAAGCTCATCCCTACGTAACATGGCAAGGCAGTATAGCAAGGAAATGATCAGGCTTCATGTTCAGTTTATTTTTCTTGTGTATTTTTAAATGCCACAGGAGAATTTTTGCCAGTTTGTTAATACTGGCCGTGGCCAAGTACATCAAACCCACTGTAGCTTAGGAGCCATTTCCTGATACTGCCCCTAATAGTTAACCAATGAAGTCCTGGTTTCTAAGCTCCTGCCACCATTCAGTTGTGGAGAGGGATATGTGCTGGGAAGCAGGGAACTATGTATGCCATCCTGAACTCCTTGGAGGAAGGATAGGATAAAAATCTGTGAAGAGTGAGACTGGCTAACCTGTTGAAGACTGAAGAGAGGACTCCTGGGCAGAAGCATCCTTTGTTTTAGAAATAAAGTCCCTAATTACCTAAATTCAAGTATCACATTGAGTCTGTGTGAACACATGAAGCTGCCTTACACTGATTCAGGCCATTGATCCACCAGGGCCACTATGATCAATTCTGTCTGGCAACGGTGCTCCAGGGTCTCAGGCAGAAGGGTCTGACATCACCTGTTAGCTTGAGGGGACAGGGCTTGAACCTGGGACCTTCTGCATTCCAACCAGATGCGCTGCCACTGAGCCGCAGCCCCAGGACTAAGAGAAGGAGCTTCAGTCTACCCTCTGTGTTCTCCACATTCCTGCAGTTCAGAGGCAGCTGATGAAGGCAGCTTGCTATAATCAGATTTCCTGCCCTCGCGTCCCAGGATGCAATATGGGAGACTAGCAAGAACATCCAAATGTGTTTACTTTATACACTTCCGTCAGCTCTCCTTCACTCACATTTAGTGGTCTCTTCTTCCTTCATGATCTTTCCCACCTTATGCTCCCCTCCAGTCCACCTCCACGCATTTCTGGGGTCTCTGTGGATGTGAGGGAGGTAGTGGTGTTCCTTCATAGTCTCCCTATTCCACCCACCTTGAGATTAAAATTTTCTCACCTTTTAAGACCTGATTCTTCAATGCAAGCTTTTGCTGCCTGTTAAAACTGGCGATGAAAGAGAGAGCTCAGGAATGATGTCAGCCAGGAGGGGAGCACTTTCAGTCTCTCTCCAAAATTGTGGTTTCCAGTCTCCTCGAAAGTACATGTTCATGAAAACTGTAACAGTTATGGCTGAGATACTTTTTCTTCTAATAAGTGATCACTGCTACTGCAGTCTGGTCCTTAAGAGCAGTCCCTGCTCTGCTGAAGTAATGTGGCTATTTATTGGTATTAGTAAATTACTATATGGAATTGGGACTATAGCCAGAGAGTGGTAGGCCCTTTCCCTGAATCTTCAGCTGCATCATGTAAAATGGAATGTATAACGTATACAAGCAGTATTCTACCTAACTGTTCACTGAGCCATCTCCTACTTTGTGACGTTCTGGTTAGTGTTGGCAAAGACATGTCTCATACTTAGCGCTAAGCGCTTGGATATCTAATACAATGGAATGGTGTAATCTGTATTTAGGGTCTGCCTGTTCTGTATATTCCCCATCCCAGAACCTTTAGGTTCTCTCTGCACAAGACGTCTGGCTACAGATTGTGTGAAAAGAATGGGGATTTTCAAGTTTGGGTTTCTGTGCTCCCTATTGAAAACAATGCCTGAGATACTTTGGGCCATTTAGGTATGAATTTCCCATTCCAAGCTGGTGGAGCTCCCCTTAGACAAGGAGAGTTGAGTTAAACTGGAAACGTCAGTGCATGCAGCTCAGTGGTAATTAGGACAAATTAAGCAGCAGTAACAATAAAATTATAAAAGGATTAGAGCATGGATTGGAAACTCAGTAAAACCAATCTCAGAACAGTTTGGGATGCTACCAAAAATTCTCAAAGGGTCTTATGCTTTTTCTTAAGCTAAAGAGGCCAGGCATATTGGGCTTTAACCAGTGATATACCACAAACAAGCACGTGAGATATTGAAATTAGTCTGTGTGTGTGTAGAAGAAGAAGAAGAAGAAGAAGACATTGGATTTATACCCCACCCTTCACTACCCAAAGGTGTCTCAGAGCGGCTTACAAACTCCTTTCCCTTCCCCTCCCCACAACAGACACCCTGTGAGGTAGGTGGGGCTGAGAGAGCTCTTGACAGAAACTGCTCTTTTTCAAGACAGCTCTTATCAGAACTACGGCTTGCCCAAGGTCATCCAGCCAGGTGCAAGTGGAGGAGTGGGGAATCAAACCCGGTTCTCCCAGTTTAGAGTCCGCACACTTAACCATTACACCAAACTGGTTTGTAGACCAAACTCATGGTTCACGTTTTCTAGAAAGGGCCTAAAATCCTGTGAAGGAGAGACAGGAAACAAAATACTTTGTGAAGAAGTGTGCTGTGATTTGCTTAGTGTGCTTAGTGATTTGTGTGCTTAGTGATTTGCATAACAATTTATTTATGTATTTATTTATGCATGCTTTCGATTTCTGTCCTGCCCCTCCCTGCACATCAGGGTGCAGGTTACATCATAATAAATAGTTACAATTCAACTTTTACAAATATTTGTTACTTTTGCGAGTATGTGAAGCTTCCTTATAAGTGGGTTACATCATAATAAATGTAGGGTGGGTTACATCATAATAAATAAAATTCAACTTTTACAAATATTTCTTACTTTTGTGAGTATATGAAGCTTCCTTATAAGTCAGACCATTGGTTCATTTAGCTCAGTTTTGACTAGGGATGGCTATAAACCGGCTGATGAACAAAAGCTTGTCATAAATTTTGGCTGTTTCATGGTTCACAAAGCGATGTTTGTGAACTGAAGAACCGCAGTGAACTTTCACGAATTTTGGTGCAGTTCATGGCTCTTCACAGAAAACAGCTGAGCAGTTTGTGCCCATTCTTAAGCTGATGTGGTTCGTGTCCATCCCTGGCTCAGCTGTTTGGAAACCCCTGCTTTCTGCTCCCCGTGAAAAGCTATGGAGAGTAGAAAGCAGGGGGTTAAACTTTAAGTGGCTCACAAATCGATATGAACCATGTCAGTTCTCAAACCAACCTCCCAGTTCATATGGGTTTGTGGTTCAGCCACGAATTGAACCAAACCCCAGAAAGGTGGTTCATGGACATAGTTTTGCCTGCTATGAGTGGCAGAGTCCCAAAGAGGAAAAGGTCTTCGCCAACATTTTCTTCCTGAGATCCTTTAACTGGTCTCTAGATGTTGAATCCAGGACCTTCTGCATGCAGAGCATGTGCTCTGCTACGGAGCTTCAACCCTCCCCTCATCAGACCTATTTTTTCAGCTGTGTGCATTCAGCCCCTTGTGCTAAATGAGAACCAAAGTATTGCTTGCATAAACATGAAACCATCCATATTCTAACAGCAGCTCTTAGACTGCAGGAAGCTACCTATGTTACATGTTGGTTTAAGAAAGTGTTCTTGTTTCCATCAACTTGAACTGGCTGTTGAGATCAATGTTCTGTTACGAACTGGCCTCAGTTTAAGAGGTCCTAATGTTCGGCTCTTATAATTTCAGCTGCTCTTGGTGTTCAGCAACCGTCCTTACTTGGGGCATCTCCTACTATATATACCCAGCAAACAGCATTGGCAGCGGCAGGCCTCACTACTCAGACTCCGACGAATTACCAGCTCACTCAGACAGCTGCTTTGCAACAGCAAGCTGCAGCTGCAGCAGCTGCATTACAGCAGGTAAAGGGAACTAACTGCATGTAGTCACTGATGACATTGCAAGGCACGCTCAGGATCAGATAAATTAAGCTGCTAACAGGTTTTATCTTGATCAAGTAATCTTCACTATTGCATCCATAAGAAATGCATTGTAGTTTCTGTACAGCCCCTCTCACCTAGCGTTTCTTTTTTCCTGGAAATCCTGATGTTATTTGGCTAATTATCCTGCTTTCTTAGTTTTGTAATATACCTTTACAGGGGTATTTATATTTTTTTATTGGAAACAAATTCTATTTATTTATCATCTTTGTCAGCTACATTTTTTATCATGAGAACCCAGAGCAACACAAAGTGATTGAAAAGCAATGAAATAGATCTTAATGTGATAAAATCCAGTTAAAACAAAAGCTGTGCTATATTTCACACACTAGTGTTTTTTAGAAGAGAGGGCTTTCAAAATAGGGTTTCCTTTAAAACAGTGATTATATAAATGTGGTCATACCAGGCTGCAGTAATGAATTATAGTATTCAATGTGGTGTTGCCATACATGTGTTCTGTACAACTGCTGTTAGCTATTGTACTGTTAGCTATTGTGCTGTTGTACGTCATGGCATAGTTCCCCGGGAGTCGGTGCTGTTGTATAGCTTCTGTTTAGTTCAATAGGGTTTACAGAGTATTCCTAGTATGTGTGACCTGGGTTCATATAGTTGGGGCTCAGGCTGATGATTCTTTTTGTAAGTAGAAATACTTCTTGTGAGTATTGCAGAATATTTTGAATGAGCTCAGTAGTATTTTGTTCCAATGGTAAAATATTGGGAAGTATGTATATGTAAGAGAGGGACTTATGGGGAACAAGAAATACAATCCTCTCCTGGGCTACTACTTTCTAATTTTTAAAAAATGCCTATGTGTTTGGCACTGCTAGGACTTTCCACAATGCCAACTATGATCTTGACAGATCTTGGATAGTACGTACTTTGAAGTTGTGATATGTACTCAAGTAAGCACATAGGTGTTCCATTTTGGAGGGGGCAGTCCCTCTCTTTATCTTTTGGGATTTGTCTACAAAACTGAAGTTTCCCCAAGTATGTAGAAACGTCTTTCATTATCTGGCCCTGCAGTATTGATTTTTTTCCCCATCTGCACTTAAGACAAGTTCAGAATTAGATATATAACTAGGGTTTGTCTAAAATACTGGAATCATTCAGTTGTATTTTATTTATGTGGAAAAATTAGGAATTTATTTCTTTTTGAGTAATAATTTCTTCCTGCTTTTGTATGTTTTTCAGCAGTATTCACAACCTCAGCAGACCCTCTATAGTGTACAACAGCAGGTTTGTTTGAACTTTTTAACTCGTCACTATCCTAATCAGTAATTCTCTTGACTATCCAGGTTTCTCATCCAAACCAAGTCATTTATTTTAGCCATATAGCAGCTTTTGTTTTGAAATTAATTTAGCAGGTTTGTTTGAACTTTTTAACTCGTCACTATCCTAATCAGTAATTCTCTTGACTATCCAGGTTTCTCATCCAAACCAAGTCATTTATTTTAGACATATAGCAGCTTTTGTTTTGAAATTAATTTAGTTTTTTAGTTTTTGGTGAACTCTCTGAATGTGGAAACTGAAGAATGTCTTTCCCTGTTATAGTCTCCATATGTCTACAGATTTTGAACTGGCTTTGTAGCCATTTTGTTAGCCCACTGTGAAATCCAGTGCCACCATTATACTGCAACAATATTATGTGTTTATCAAAGCATGTATCAGTTTCATCAGACTGAATGAACATATTGGAATGGACTCTTAATCTGTGATTCCTTCCCTGACCCTTGAGAGTTGTTGTTCCTGGCACATTGTGACTGATCTTTTCTTGTCCCCGGCAAATGATTTTTAATTCAAAAACTCCTATGTTACAATTTTTTCTGGGGTGAAGATCCACACAGGAGAGAAGAGGTACAGAGAAGAGTAACATTTCTGGTTTTGTTTTGTTTTTTAAATAGGTTAGAGTCTGCTTCTCCAGATTTTCATGCTAGATCTGAGTCTTTCTGCATTTGGAATTTGGGGATTATTTTTTTAAGATAGAATTGGTGCTGTGAACAGTTTTTGGCATTTAAAGTCCCTTTACTTACAGTGGATGTCATAGCCCAGATAAATAAAATGACAATCTTTAGATGATTTGCAGAAGCAGGCATTGGTGTGGACCTGCAGAATTCTAGAATACAAACATAAACAATTATGAGTACATTTTGCCATACGTTCTCTCACATGTATAAATGCTGAATTGCAGTTGAAGAGAACAGGATTGTACAGTGTATAAACAACTAATTCATGATCTTTTTTTCTTTAAGTTGCAGCAACCTCAGCAAACCCTTTTAACCCAGGTTAGTTGGTCTATAAGTGAACTCTGTCAGTCTGTAGCTCTCATTTTTGCAGTTTTGCCTTTATTTAAAACTCTTAAAACGTAATAACTTTTCTGTTTAGTTGCCTGTATAATGTACATTTGTTGAACAAAGTCTGAGTCCAGTGGCACCTTTAAGATTTACAGAGTTTTATTCAAGGTATTATAAGTTTTTGTGTGTACCTTGAATAAAACTGTGTTTGTCTTAAAGGTGCCGCTGGACTCAAACTTTGTTCTGCTGCTTCAGACCAACATGGCTACCCACCTGAATCTATGTACATTTGTTGTTAATGTTGCTTTCACATAAACCCATAGCTATTTTTCTCCAGAAGGAAAAGTTTTCTCCTAAAGAATCATCATTCCTTCCAACTGAGCTTCAGAAAGAATGTTTCTATTACATAATATTTCTTAGTTTATTTATAGGCCAATTCTAAGCATGTCTACTTGAAAACAAATGCTACTGAAATCAGTGGAACTTATTTCTAAGTATATATGCTTGGGATTCCGGGATTGATAGACTATGTTTTTTCATAGTACAAAAAGTAATTCCTTTGTGTTTATAAGAACAATAATTAACAAAAGATACTTTCCCCCAAGCAACCTGCTTTTTAAGTTTGAAAACTCCAAGGTGTGTTTTTGACTTTAGTCTTTCTGAAAGGAAATGTTGGGTTGGATCCAATGAATATACTGGAGGTGGACGAAGTACTGTGAACATTCTGGGAGCTGAGAGTATTTTGTGGTCAATATGCTTTTGGGCATAAGGGTCTTCAGTAAACAGGAATAAAGCAAAGTTGTCCCACCTCTCTTTTCTGCTGACAAAGGATGTACTGTGAAGCAAACATCTAATTTGGCCAAGAAGGAAGTGGGGGAACTAGTCAAATTCTCCCTCCTTGCTGTAGTCCCAACGTGACCATGATTCTCCCTTGATCTCAGTATTAGCTGTTTGGGGGCTGCTGGGAATAGGCAGGGAAATATTCACCTCTGTGCATTCCACAAGCATTTTGCAAGATTCAATCCAATTTTTTACATAACTCCATATGCAGTGCTTCTAGTGAGGGGGGGGAATCCAGGTAATTAAAAAATATGGGCAAAGTAGACCATGAATGTAATTCACACTAACATCCAGCATACTAAAGACAAGAAACATATGAAAACTGAAAATGTTTTGACTTAAAGAACTTCAAAAAATCCCTTTAGCTGCCATTTTAGAATGTGTGCTGGTCCTAAACTCTCTGCGCTGTGATGTGTGCCTGCAACTGTTACTGAGAGCCAGTGTGGTTTATAGTGGTTAGGGTGCTGGACTAGGATCTGAGAGATCCGGGTTTGAATCCCCACTGGTGCCATGGAAACGCCCTGGCTGACTTTGGCCCAGTTATACTCTCTCAGCTTAACTTACCTCACAGGATGATTCTTGTGAAGGTAAAATGGAGGCAGCGTTATAAGCCACTCTATGGAGAAAGGTGGGGTATAGATATCTTTAAAAAATACACTCGTGTACAGCTCTTCCATATTTGTTTATAAAAATATAAACAAACCAGCAGTTCTGAGAGGATTTGGAAGAAATGCCTGCTGCTTACATGCAGATGGAATTTCAAGTGGATTGATGAAGCCGTTCATGCAATTATGGCTTACTATGAAAATCTAAGTTTGAGTCCGTCCCTCCCGCCTATCCTAAAATTACTTGTCATTTTTGTGTGTGGCTCTTTTGCTCAAAACTTTTCTTTTCTCCTCATACTTTTTAAGAGCAATGCGAAGTTCTCACGCAGTGTCCTGTTTTTCCCCGTTTTGCGTGCAGCCAGCTGTGGCACTGCCAACAAGCCTTAGCCTGTCTACCCCTCAGCCAGCAGCACAGATAACAGTCTCTTACCCGGCACCACGGTCAAGTCAGCAGCAGACCCAGCCCCAGAAGCAGCGTGTCTTTACGGGGGTGGTTACCAAGCTGCACGACACATTCGGCTTCGTGGATGAAGATGTTTTCTTTCAACTCAGGTAAGTCGATTCGGCTGCCTGTAGATGATTTGGAATAGTGCTGCACGCACGCGCTGGGGGCCATTTCATCCTTGACAGAACCCAAAATGATAATTCCATAGTCCTTTTTTTTAAAGTGCTTCATGTTCTTGATCCTTACAAGAAGTTTGTAAGGTAAGCCAGTAATACCCCTCTATTGTAGACTAGGTGGTAATTGTGGGGGAGGGAGTTGTTTGTCAAAAACTGGAAAGTAGTCCTGTTCCCATTTTACGAAGCTGATGGGCCCAGTAGCACAACATCTTCTAATAGTGTGACCATTCAAAAATTTTTTGCAGCGCTGTTAAAGGGAAGACTCCTCAGGCGGGAGACAGAGTGTTGGTAGAAGCCACATATAATCCCAATATGCCTTTCAAATGGAATGCACAGAGGATTCAGACGCTGCCAAATCAGGTACATGCAACTGTTTTCTCTGCCTCTCGTTGGCGCCTTTTAGCATAAAGCTCATTCACAAGGCAATATTCCCTTGTTTCCTCACTAGAACCAGACTCAAACCCAGCCTTTACTCAAGACCCCTCCGCCTGTGCTTCAGCCCATTGCGCAGCAGACAGCATTCAGCGTTCAGGCACAGCCGCAGCCTCAGTCGCTGCTGCAGGCACAAATATCTGCGGCTTCTATAACGCCTTTGCTTCAGACACAGCCGCAGCCTTTGTTGCAACAGCCACAGCAGAAAGGTATTCATTCCCTCAAACCATAACCTGTGTTGTCTTCTGTTAACGTCTTAAGTCTTGTTGAAGTATCCAAACTTGCATAAAATGCATGAAGTGGCTGAAGGCTGCGTTGCCTCTACTTTGGATTGTCACTATAAAGAGAGAGAGAATACAGAACTACACTCTGGGACTACTAAAAAGGGGTTTAGGAAAGAAGTTTCTCTCATGGACCACTGTTTTCTTCTGAGAACTGTTTGCAGATATGGCCTTCCTAAAAAATTAAATGACATAACATCTGGATTTGGTTTACTGTCACTGATAGTATGTTTTCAGACTAGATATAGATATTTTGGCAGTACCTAGTGTTGCGTGGTTTCCATGGTTTCTTAGTGGTAGACTGTTGGGCTCTTTCTTTTTACTTAGTTTTCATTTGAAGTCATAGTCTCATACTTGTAGGCAATTTCCATGCCGTGAGCGCACACACACATGAAGCTGCCTTATAGTGAATGAGACTGTTGGCCCATCCGAGTCAGTACTGTCTACTCAGACTGGCAGCCACTCTCCAGGGTCTCAAGTAGAGGTCTTTCATGTCACCTCCTGCCTGGTCCTTTCAACTGGAAATGCCAGGGATTTAAGTAGGGACCTTCTGCACACTGAGGGATAGCCCCTCCCCTGCTCTTGTGGGAGGGATTGCTCCCAAAGAGGACTGCTTCATTTGGAAAAGACATTACTTGGAAAACCCTGGTTGTAGCTTTTAGGAAGGTACCAATCTCAGTAACTCCTTTGAGGCTGTTCACTGGCAAATTGAACAGCTACAGTGTCTGGAGTGGTGTGAAAACAGTTTCAACAACATGGGGTCCTTGAATTCTTTTCCGTGTTCTATGCAGTAATGTCATTTTGGCTGCCATGAAATTGACCTCAAACTGGATCTCATTCTAACACTCTGAATTAAGGAAGCAGTCTTTTAAAGACAATATTAGTCACGTTGCCTGCAGGGTCTTCCCTCAGCAGCTGCTTCTGCTGTTGCTCTCCTTTACAGGGTTTCTTATTTGGTCTGGCAGATCTCTCCCAGTACTGTTGCCCAGGTTTTGTTTCTGATGCTTGATACTGACAGAGGTTTCTTTCCCTTTGCTCCACAAGAACTACAAATGGATTCAGAGGGTCTTAATAGTACATGTGTGTGTTTGTGTGCTTGTGGTCAAAGAGTAACTTCCTTGCTTTATGATTGGCTGTGACTTTGAGAGATTGCCTTGAGTTCTGCTTCAAGAGAAAGGTGGTGTAAAAGACTTTTAATCATATGAATGTGATGGAACATGAGGAGAAAATTTGTGTATTGGCAGCAGTAGATGTAACAGGCTGGATTATTTCATGACCAGCCCCACTGTTTCCTATCAAACAGTAAGATATATGGTGGGCAAGGAGTAACTTCCTTGCTTTATGATTGGCTGTAAGGTAAACAGCAGTATTTTGACAAAATGACAGCTGGTATATTGCTGGAGATTTAATGAAAGAAGAAAAACTTCCTAGTAGAAATTTCCTGATGAATATAGCTTTAAGAGGTGTAGTTTGAACACAGAAGCTATTTGTGGCTATTAAAGTTTTTAAAAATGACCATATCTCTTAACAGTTGCAATAATATGATGTCACTGTGATGAGACTTGAAGTTAAATGTTACTAGAACTCAAATGTTTACCTATACAACCTGAAGAGAGAAATTAGTGTATGTAACTGGGTTTGATACTCTGTTGCTTATGCCCACTGTTGTCGGTTGGTCATCAGACTGTTGCCACAATCATTATTACATAAATATTGAGAAATTGTTTTGGGAACATGTTGCGTTGTTGAAAACATTTTTTAAAAAACCTTGATTATATAGTAATGTTATTTTATTGTTGGATTAATGCTGTGGAAAAAGCTTTAAAGTATGTGGGATTTCTTTTTCTAGCTGGTTTACTACAGCCCCCTGTCCGAATAGTTTCACAGCCTCCACCGGCACGAAGACTAGATCCACCACCCAGATTTTCTGGGCGAAATGAGAGGGGAGATCCCATGGCTAACAGAAAAGATGACAGAAGGTGTGATATAATAATTCCACTCCATTTTTTCTGTGCATACTAGAAAGAATGCAAGTTAAACATTTGAAGTTTGAATTTAAATACTGTCCATTTTTAAAGCACTGTAACAAAATGGTAATTCTATATTAATGGGCACATACTGCTGTTGGTTCTAGAGTAATAGGCTTGTCAGCTCTATGTTCATAACGCTGCAGAGGCTATAATGAGACATTTATATTTCATATACGGTTAAGTCGTGAAAGAGAGCGTGAAAGACGTAGGTCACGAGAAAGATCACCCCAGCGAAAACGCTCTAGAGAGAGATCACCTCGACGAGAGAGGGAAAGATCCCCTCGAAGACCACGGCGTGTTGTTCCCCGTTACACGGTCCAGTTTTCCAAGTTTTCATTAGACTGGTATGTTACTTGAGTGTCAAATAAGTTTTTGTATTAATTCATGGAAGGAAATTTACAGCCATAAAATAAGTGCATATGGGACAAATCCAGTCGAAAGCAAAACTTTATACTGAGTCACTTGCCTTTTTTGATGCATATTATGAACACACTGTCTGAGTGGAAATTGGCTTTCCTTCCCTATAAATTCTTTTAACAATGCAATCCATGTTGTGTAGCTACACATATTAAGGAGGTGATTCACATGTGTGTGTTAAATTATGGCTGTAGAATCCCTATCACCTTTGTATTCATAAATGTTATGCAGGTATATTTGGATAGGATAAGCCTTGTAAGGCAAAATATTGAGGGGGCTCTGTGACAATAGAGCACTGGCAAACCCATATATATGCTGCTATTTTATGACAAGTGTGAAGTTTGGGAGCAGAAGTCAGCAACTTGAAAATCTTGACTTTCATTTTTTAAGTATGTTTGGAGAGCCCTTATGCCCGTAAGTGTGTAGAGAATACAGATTCCTGTGAAAAGGAAGCCTTCTTTTATATAGGTTATAAAGTTTGGTTCTGACTCCTTTAACACAAGATATGCTTGAGGTATCAGAAGCCCATAATATTGTGGTTTGAATGTTGTTGGGAAAGGAGGGGTGGCAACTTTTGCCGGTCATATTCATCGCTCATGATTGACGTTCACTGTGGTAATTGCTAACTGCAAGAACTTTTGGAGAAATAACTGATCCTGAAATAACTCAGGGGTGTGTGTCTAATTGAAACAATGACTGGTTTGTTGTTGTTTGGCATTTCTACAGAATAGTTGCATGATGACAAATTGGCAGCTTTAGAGACTTCTGGTGCTCATACATATTTATATGTGATACAAATTCAGTTCTTCTGTTTTCTGTTCATCGTGACACAAAAATATTTGTAAAATACTGCTAAGGCCAAACTTTTTAACTCCCAGCTCTCTTTACCTTTATAAAATATATGTTCTTATTGTTTAAAGCCTTAGTTGTGATATGATGGAACTGAGACGGCGTTATCAGAACTTGTACATTCCCAGTGACTTCTTTGATGCTCAGTTTACATGGGTGGATGCTTTTCCAATGTCGAGGCCATTTCAGCTGGGCAACTACTGCAATTTCTATGTAATGCATAGAGAGGTAGATCCTTTGGATAAAAACTCTGCTGTTCTGGATCCCCCAGATGCTGATCATCTTTACAGTGCCAAGGTATGTAAGATACCCTCCATACCATCTCTTGCGTAGAAGCCTTGAAAGACAAGAGTAATATCCCAGAAGTGTTCTTTTGATTACATCTACTTTCTGCCCACACCTTGACCAGGATCTTTATGTGTGCTCAAGGAATTAAGCCAGATCCAAATTCAGATCACTTTCTAGATGGGTACAGCTTAAATAGCAACAACTGAAGTTTAAAAGTGAGTGGTAGGAAATAGAGTTTGGATGAAGTCACGAGTGTAGTCATGGACACCTGGGATACTAACAATTTGTTTTCAAATGGTAAGAAACTGTAATTTTGCCTTTGAATGTACTCCGCTATCTAACATAATTCCCAGGGACTGCAAACACTGCTCTGTGGGACTCTTGGTGGTTATTCTTCACATAACATGTGTCCGACATTGTTGTAAGGCTGTTCAGCATCCATATGCAGGCTGAATAGCACTGTAACTGATCTTTCTACTTGGACATAAAGTTTATTTTGTGCTTTGGATATGCAAGAGGCTATTAGCAGTTAGCCAAGAAGAGAGGTATTGAGATGCAACCCTTCAAAAGATCTGTATCCCTTTGTAGACAGGAATAGTCAGCTTTATACACTGGAATGGTCCAGCTGAACTCAGGAGTACAAACTAAGTTCATAGTGTGTTGCATCCAGAGGAGCCCTTGTCAGAGTAAAAGGCACTTTCAGTAATGCAAAGGTGGGGCTGATGATTTCCCAATTGAGCTGCAGCATCCCATGCTGTTCTTGAGAGTCCCCTGGTCCTCAGCAGCATTGGGGGAGGGGGGGCAGCCTGGAAGGAGAGAAAAGCCTTTTGTACCAGTAGAGTTCTGTTTGTGGTTCTTTGGACCCAACTCAGTGTCTGAGAGAGGTCAACCTCGTATAATTGGTTTATCCACATCACAATGCAATAAATGGGAGTCCAGCAGCACCTTACAGACTAACAACATTTATTCCAGCATTTTTGTTGGTCAGAGCTCAGTTCATCAAATACTCTGATTCAGATTCTTATGCTGGAATAAATTGTGTTAGACTTTAAGGTGCCATTGGAATCATCTTTTATTTTGCTGCGGCAGACTTGGCTACCCACCTGGAATTAACTTTACAGTTGTTTCTTGCTACATTAATAGGTGATGCTCATGGCGAGTCCTAGTATGGAAGATCTATATCACAAATCATGTGCCCTTGCCGAAGATCCTCAAGAGGTTCGGGATGGGTTTCAACATCCCGCTAGACTTATAAAGGTAAAAATAAATGATTCTAGCTAAAATCAAAAACACCTTGCTATAAAGTCTAGCGTAGGATCCCTGTATTAGCATTTTTATCAGAGTTTTGAGCTATCAGTGGTCTTCCATCCAGATTACTGAGCCACACCTGATTAGTTCCAGCATTTCCTGCAACATCTGGTGTTTCCAAGAAGATGCCACTGCATGAGCAGATGCAATGTGTGTGTGCGCGTGCACGCACGAGTCTATCATCAGTTCTTCCTTTCCACTCAGCAAATGTCCCCCAAAGCAGTTGTGGCAGGGCAGTTAGCTGCACAGATCTTCAGAAGCGACTTGCACTCATTTAAAGAGAGAGAAGTAGCAAGTTCTAGGTTTCCAGCTTATAGGCATTTTCTATGGCCTGGGAGCAAAAAGCATCACATTGAGAAAACAGTGAAGTGAGTGCATCCATTGTTTCACAAACTAATAGAATTAAGTCAGTTGAAATTGGAAGTATGTTATTAGATAAACTACCATGGTATCTCTAGGTGTGTTTAAATTTACATGGAACCTTGAAAATAATTTAATATTTCTACCATATGGGGTAATTTCATCATTTGCTAACAGTTTCTACATTTCTGTTATATATACTACCGTATTATAGTTACAAAGCTTTAATGGAAGTCTTGCAAAAATAGAATGAGTGATGATGTTTAAACCTATTCCATTACTGAATGTGCTGTGGACAAATCAAGCTGAACTCTTTCTTGAGCAAGACTTTCACTTAACAGATTTCAGGCTAACTGCTTGTCATGGTTTATCTCCTTGTAAATGGGGTGGGGGTGGGGAGTGTGGTGTGTATGATTTCAATGCTCTGGGCAATGTTTCTGCAATTCAGATAACCTTTTCCCCCAGCAGGGAAATGTTAAGCGGCCTTTTCTTGTCTAGTTTTTAGTGGGTATGAAAGGTAAAGACGAAGCCATGGCTATAGGAGGACACTGGTCTCCCTCCCTGGATGGACCTGACCCGGAGAAGGACCCATCCGTGCTGATTAAAACGGCTATCCGTTGTTGCAGAGCCCTTACAGGGATTGACTTGAGTGTTTGCACACAGTGGTAAGTATCATTCTCAAAAATATTCTGAAGAAACTGAAGCATGTTTAAAACCCTCATTCAAAGTGCCGTCCGGCAAACCAACCTCTTCCTTTCTTTATCAGCCCGTCAGTAGTCATAGAGTTAAACTTCTCAGAGTGATAACCCTAGTGGGCAACGCAAATGTGATTTGGTGCCAAAGGTTTGAAGAACAACGGACTTTAAAACCATGCTTTTATGTACGTTTTGCAATGCTTGTATGTTAAAATATTTTTCATTTCACGCATAGCTGGAGAAGATCGTCAAGAGAACTTCATTTCATTATTCTTGTTTTATAAATAGATGTTTTGGACAGCCATATTTTCTCTTGGTGGATTTAATATTTAATATATTTAATGACAGTTTGCAAAATGAAGCACTGCTATGCAGTAAATTCTAAAAATTAAGATTTCCCCCTTTTTCCCCCAAAGCAGTCAGCAAAGGGCATGATGCACTGCCTTCCGCAGTTAGCATTTTGTTCGTTCCTTACTGATCTTGTAATAAGTGGCATAAGTTTCTGAAAGAGAACATATGGCTTTCATTTTTTTCTTTAGAAGAAATTCAGGTTGTCGCAGCAAAGTTTCTTTACTTGATGTGCTACAGTGATCTAGGCTCTATAAAAAAAATGTATTGTAGAATTTTTTTTCCAACATGCTTCTTCCCTTGCAACAGGTACCGTTTTGCAGAGATTCGCTACCATCGCCCTGAGGAGACCCACAAGGGGCGTACGGTTCCAGCTCATGTGGAGACAGTGGTTTTATTTTTCCCGGATGTTTGGCATTGCCTTCCCACCCGCTCAGAGTGGGAAACCCTCTCCCGAGGATACAAGCAGCAGCTGGTCGAGAAGCTTCAGGGTGAACGCAAGGAGGCTGATGGAGAACAGGCACTGAACGCTAATCCCTTTTTCTATTTCTGCTTCTCACAGGCGCAGGAACACAGGCACAAAACGCACACCACACGCTACACAACAAACATACATAAGGAGGAACATAACTGGTAACAATGCCTGGTAAACCAGCTCTCAGCAGTGTAGACTCCTTTTTATTATTATCTGGTTGCAGCTAGTGTACTAACGTAAAAGTGTGTGCTGATGCTACAAGCGGAATTAAACTGTGCACTCGATGCACCCTTCATCGTGCATCTTATTTTAGAACTAGTTGCTGGAATCTGGGACCAGCTGTTGAGTGAGATTCAGTTTGAAAGGTTGTCTTCAGCATTTTTGCCGTTTGACAAAACTTTGTAAGTGTTCTCCCGTATGTGTTAGCCTTTTCTTTTTTAATGGTGATTTGGAAATAGAGAAGCCATTAAAATAACCTAGTTTTTTTAGGTTATGTGGCTGATTGGCATCTTGATACATGTAAAAGGTCTTAACAAAATGAGGAGTGTGTTGGGTGGTTTGAAAAATTGGGGAAGATCACACACTGCCTGGTTAGAGGTGACCAGCAGTGTCTGTGTGTCCCTGATGTCCTTTGTGTTGTTGTTTATCACCCTTTTGTGTTTCACAGAAATGACTATTATTGGCTGATGAGAGAGGCACTGTGATCCATTATAAAGCAGTAGAATGTATGCTTGTGGCTTTATTGAAATGGCAACTTTAGGAGAAGACTGTCTGATGAAACAGTTGTGACCTTGCCCAGATCAGCAGCAGAATTTAAGAGAGAGAAAAAATTCTACTTTTTAAGGTTTCTAAAGGACAGTGTCTTTATTTCATTCTTCAGGATGAAGAAGAAAAAGATGATGGGGAAGCAAAAGAAATTTCTACTCCTACTCACTGGTCTAAACTTGATCCAAAAGCGATGAAGGTAACCACTATTTAAAGAGTGTTAAGTTTATATAACAGCCTTAAGGATGTAATCAAATAAGGCGATGCTAATTTTTGTCATACTATTTAATTTTAAACCACATAGTATTGCACTGTGTTTTCATAAGAGAAATCAGTGGCAGCAGGGTGGATTTAAATCATTTTTTTTTTACATCTTGCTGGTATAATTTTAATATTTACAACCAGATGAAGGTTTCATTCTTACAGTAATTTTTCAGATTAGTTTTACAGTTATATCAAAAAGTTACTGATTTGGTTGTTCACTATAGATCCAATACAATGCAGCTCAATATAATGTGGGATCGTTTATAACACGGTCAGAGCTCGGACCCCATTGTAAACGATCCTGCTGAGCCACATTATATCCAGCTGAGCAGTCGTGAGTAGGGGTGTGCATTCGACAGTAACTAAGCTGAATGAATACCCAAAAAGTACCCAAGGGAAAGAAATGCATTTAAAAATGCCCTGGCTCTCTGCCTTCCCTTCCCCATCTGCCCTGCCTTGGGGAAGGGAAGGCCGAGGGAGGAGAGGAGGCTTCCACTGGTCAGTTTCACTCCTATCCGCCTGTCAGCTGTTAGGTTTAAATGGCCTAAGCCTGGCGGGGAGTGAAACCGGCCAGTGGAAGTAGCGGGGGGGGGGCGCTTGGGGAGGGAAGGAAGACATTTTAACATGCCTCCCTTCCCTCCCCGGCGGGTATAGTATACCTGAATATGTTCAGGAATATTGAATATTCCCCCAGTCCCAATACTATATCAGTATTGGACTGGAGAAATTCGATATTTACTGATACTTTCCGGATCTGTTATGCCCGAAACTGAAAAATACCAAAAAAAACATTTCTTGCACACCCAGACCCGTGAGCAAACTGCTTTCTTCTGCAGTCTGCTCCCCCATGGCTCAGCCGCAGAACTCTCCCAGCATTCCTGTGCAGAGAGGAGACCGAGGTGGGGAATCCGGGAACTGGAAGCAGCTTCCTCCTGACCAGCAGCGATCACTTCAGTCGAACCCGGTGGAGAGCTCATTGTCGCTCGATCTTCCCCTTGCTCACTTCCCCCTTCACTCTCCAGCCGACAGCAGCAATTCCTACCTGCGGCAGCTGCCAGGGCTCCACAGAGGCGCAGCTGCTGCCCGCTGGGCCCTTTTTCCTTACTGCTATTGCGAGTGCATCTGACCAGCTTCGGAGGCTGGGCTGGGCTGGACTCAGCCCCACGCCTGACAGACTCCAGCCCAACACTTCCCAAGCCAGACTCGGCTCCAAAGCACACCAAGCGGGGACAGGAAGGGGCTCCAGGCGAGCACCTTCAGCAACTGGATAGGGCAGGGCACTTTCAGCCTAGCACACCCCTGGCCCTTGTCTGTCGATACAAAGAAGACTGCTTAGCTGATATTGATCTCAATATAACACAGACTCAGGTAGAACTCAACTGTGGACCCCAACTTCAGGATACAGGATGATCTTGACAGGCTGGGAAACTGGGATGAAACAAATAAAATGAATTTCAATGGGAATAAATGTAAAGTTCTACATTTAGGTAGGGGAAAAAATCAAAGGGTGGGGGAGACTTGTCTTGGCAGTAGTATGTGCGAAAAGGATCTAGGGGTACGCGGTAGCTAAAAAGGCAAATGCGATTTTGGACTGCATCAACAGAAGTATACTGTCCAGATCACACGAAAGTGATGGTGGGGCTTTACTCTGCTCTGGTTAGACCTCACCTAGAGTATCGTGTTCAGTTTTGGGCACCACAATTCAAGAAGGATATAGACAAGCTGGAATGTGTCCAGAGAAGGCCAACAAACATAGTGAGGGGTCTGTGGAGACCAACTCGTATGAGGAAAGGTTGAAGGAGCTGGGTATGTTTAGCCTGGAGAGGAGATGACTGAGAGGTGATATGATAACCATCTTCTAGTACTTGAAGGGTTGTCATATAGAAGATGGTATGGAGTTGTTTTCTGTTGCCCCAGGAGGTCGGACCAGAACCAACAGGCTGAAATTGAATCAGAAGAGTTTTTGGCTAAACATTAGGAAGAACTTCCTGAAGTTAGAGTGGTTCCTCAGTGGAACAGGCTTCCTCAGGAGGTGGTGGGCTCTCCTTCTTGGGAGGATTTCAAAGAGAGGCTAGATGGCCATCTGACAGCAATGCTGATTCTGTGAACTTTGGCAGATCATGAGAGGGAGGGCAGGAAGGGTTGCATCAGTTCTTAGTTCTCGTGGCCCTTTCTTACACACCCAGGAAAATGCCGATCGCCACTTTGGGGAGAGGAAGCAATTTTTCTCCAGGCCAGTTTGGCCAGGGATCTTGGGGAGGGGGGGGTTGTCGTCTTCTGGGCATGGAACAGGGGTCACTGGGTGTGTGTAGGGGGAGGTATTTGTGATTTTCCTGCAGTGTGTAGGAAATGACCCTGGAGGTCTCTTCCAACTCTTCCAACTACATGACCCTGGAGGTCTCTTCCAACTCTATGATTCCATGTTATATTGGGTCTATTGTGTACCATTAGAAATACATAGATAGGTAATTATGAAATTATTGCAGGGTAAACTGTCTCCAGTTTAATAGGTTAATCATTCATATTTAGGACAACCTTTCTGCTGTACTTTATTGGAAGGAGAAAACTAAACATTAACTTAATACTAACAATGTAAATAGTTTTATTGAACTAAAATTTGCAGAGGAACAATGGGATTAAGGCCTTTTCCTCAACTCTGTATTTTTATTTTAAAGTATTTTTGCCATGAAGGAGAGGCATGTTATCTCGGCAGACACAAATTCACAGTTTTGAGAACTGCAAAACCAAGCATTTGTGATATTTTGTAGATAGAAAAATTGTGCCAAATAATCTTATGGAAACTCTGGGAGAGCATGACATTGTGAATGGATTAATGGAATTCATTTACCAAAAAATTTAAACATTTCATGAATATACAGCCTCATGCTACATAATTAAAAACTAATCCATATGTCATGATGTAATAACCTTTGGACTGTAATGTATCTTAAATATTGGCCTCTTATAAACATTAACATTTTTTAAAAAAATTTATTTAACACTAAATAGCGGGAAGCAATATAAGCAAAAACTCTTCTGTGGTGCCCTCCTTCCCTTGCAGCCCTAAGCATTCAATAGGACCTTCAACAGGACTGTTTTTTCCAATCATCGATTTTTATCCAACTTGCTTGACAGTCCGTGATTTAAATTCGACTATTGGGTGAAAATGTATTGTGCACTTTTAAAGACTTTGTCTACCCTTGATTCAGTAGTGGACAAGGGTGTGTGTGAACAATATAGTTCAGAATTTTGTTGAGTTATATATAAAAAATAATTCATTGGATAGCCACTGTATACTACTTTTATCGACTAGGTTAATGACCTACGCAAGGAATTAGAAAGTCGAAATCTTAGTTCGAAGGGTCTTAAATCCCAGCTGATAGCCCGGCTAACAAAGCAGCTGAAAGTGGAGGAGCAAAAAGAAGAACAGAAAGAGCTGGAGAAGTCTGAAAAAGAGGAGGAAGAGGAAGAAGAGAGGAAATCTGAAGACGATAAAGAGGTGGGCGTCTAGCAAATTTATTTGGCTACGAAACATTGTATAAATATCAATCTGTAGTTAAGCTGAACTTCACAGAGGTGCAGGAGAGGAAATGTTCATTATCTGAGGGGTGTGAACTTTGATTAAGCCTTTATCTAAATTTAGTTTTAAAAATGGTCATACGCTATCAACTCACACATATTCACAGTGGTATTAGGTGTGCTTTCACTCCACTGTTTCACTCCACTGGATGAAAGTAACATCAGGGTGGGTTAACTGCAGTGTTTCCTTTTCACTCACGTCTTGCCTGGTCCTCCGCAAGGGTGATGGAACCAGTTGTCCTAACCACACGAGTTTCTGTACTGCTTCTGGGACTTCAGTTCTGGCAACATCAGCACCCTTTGATGTATTTACCTAAAAGACAAGCTTGTAGTATGTGCAGTGCTGCTTTTGTGCTCCTCTCCTCTGGTAGAGAGCATTGCCACTGCTTAATTATGGAGGGAGCACTTGTGTTTAAACAGATTTATCAGCCGTTTAACTTGCCCTCGATTCAGACATTTACCAGGTCTACACATCATGAAGGAGCAGTGCTGCCTTCCCCTGCAACACACATATGATAAACAATGTGCATAATTTTACCTTATGATGTTTTGTCATCCCTTCTCCCAAAAGCTCAGAGTAGCACAAATCCCACCCAACCTCAATTTGTATTGACCTGGTAAACAGAGTAGGTTAAGCTAAGGGAGAGTGACTTGCCCACAGCCTCTTGCCAGCAAGCTTTATGGCTGAGTGGAGATCTGAACCAGGGCACAAGTCCTACGCTGCATTGCATACATGATATCATCTGCATAAGGTAAGGGAGCATGGGCAGTGAAGGGTAAACACCTGGGCTGGGACCTGAGCATCATCTTCCTGTGCATTTTCAAGCAGCAAGGATTTGAAGTTCTTGCTTTAATAAGAACATAAGAGATGCCAATGTTGGATCAGGCCAAAGGCCCATCCAGCCCAACACTCTCTCACACAGTGGCCAAAAATACCAGGTGCCATCAGGAGGTCCACCAGTGGGGCCAGGACATTAGAAGCCCTCCCACTGTTGACCCCCCCCCCCCAAGCACCAAGAAGACAGAGCATCACTTGCCCCAGAGTCCCTATCTATACCTTGTGGCTAATAGCCACTGATGGACCTCTGCTCCATATGCCTATCTAATTCCCTTTTGAAGCTGTCCATGCTTATAGCCGCCACCACTTCCTGTGGCAGTGAATTCCAAGTGTTAATCACTCTTTGGGTGAAGAAGTACTTCCTTTTATCTGTTCTAACCCGACCGCTCAGCAATTTCATGGAGTGCCCACGAGTTCTTGTATTGTGAGAAAGGGAGAAAAGTACCTCTTTCTCTACCTGCTCTTTCCCATGCATAATCTTATAAACCTCAATCATGTCACCCCTCAGTCGCAATGCATGGCTAGGAATAAATACAGTGAAGCAACATGTTGAATACCGGCAAACAGATTGATGACTTACTGAACCAGTCCTCGAAAAATCGTCCCTGCTTGTGATCAGTGAACAGAGCATGAGCCAAACTGGCAGGTGTTCATATGTCCCTAGCCAGGAGTAAGCTACGATGTCCATGTTTGTACAGAATGCAGAACCGTATTTAAGACTAACTGTGGTTAACAAAACAAAGTATGAATCCAGTGGCACCTTTAAGACCAACAAAGTTTTCACAATCCTCACTGGTTTTCACCACCCTGAACAACTTTGTATCATCCGCAAATTTAGCCACTTCACTGCTTACTCCCAACTCCAAATCATTAATGAACAAGTTAAAAAGCAGTGGACCAAGTACTGATCCCTGTGGTACCCCACTGCTTACCCCCCTCCACTGAGAGAACTGCCCATTTATACTCACTCTCTGTTTTCTATGAATTAGCCAGTTTTTGATCCATAAAAGGACTTGTCCTTTTATCCCATGATTTTTGAGCTTGCTTAGGAGCCTTTGATGAGGAACTTTATCAAAAGCTTTCTGGAAGTCAAGGTAAATAATATCTATTGGATCCCCCTTGTCCACATGTTTGTTCACCCCCTCAAAGAACATTAACAGGTTAGTGAGACAAGATCTTCCCTTACAGAACCCATGTTGAGTCTGCCTCAATAGGTTTTGTTCATCTATGTGCCTACTAATTCTTTCCTTAATAATGGTTTCCACCAATTTACCCGGTATCGACGTCAGACTGACTGGCCTGTAATTTCCCGGATCTCCTCTGGAACCCTTTTTAAAGATGGGAGTGACATTAGCTACCTTCCAATCCTCAGGAATGGAGGCAGATTTTAAGGAAGGATTACATATTTTTGTAAGGAGATCCACAAGTTCACATTTGAGTTCTTTCAGAACTCTCGAATGTATGCCATCTGGGCCTGGTGATTTATCAGTTTTTAAGTTGTCTATCAGTTTTAGGACCTCTTCTCTCATCACCTCAATCTGACTCAGGTCTTTCAACACCCCTCCCGAAATCAGCGGTTCTGGAGTGGGCAAGCACTTCTCATCTTCCACAGTGAAGACAGAGGCAAAAAATGCATTTAGCTTCTCAGCCATTTCCCTATCATCCTTCAGTACTCCATTTAAAATTTAAAATTGACTTCTGGACTGTTTAGGAAGAAGAAAGGAAACGTTTAGAGGAAGTGGAACGCCAGCGGCGAGAGAGACGATATGTCTTGCCTGATGAGCCTGCAATCATTGTGCATCCTAACTGGGCGGCGAAAAGTGGAAAGTTCGACTGCAGTATTATGTCCCTTAGCGTTCTTCTGGATTACAGATTGGAGGATAACAAAGAGCACTCCTTCGAGGTAATCTCTTGGCATAGCTTCCTCCATGAACATTTTTGAAGTCCACTTTACTGATTTGTTTTCCTCTGCCTCACTTGATGTTAGTAAGCTTAAGGCAAAAGGTGTTCAGTCATGAATTGTTAAACTTACCTGTCTTTAAGGGTGGCTAAATGAAAGTGATAATGATAGTAGGAGCTTCTTAATCAAGAATTTGGCTTAATAGTTATGTTTCTTAATAGGTTTTGTTAGTTTTTTGCAGAACTATCTTTTGCATGAATATTAGCGGTTGCAAATCCTTTTTAAAAAGGGAACATTTTATTTTTCTTATACTTATTTTATGTAAGATGGCTCTCATTGTTGCTTTTGGTTCTTTTAAGTATTTCATATCTTCATTTTGTGATGAGGCAACAATAGTTCAATTACTTATTACAGTAAGTTAACATTATGACTCTGTTCTATGCTGTACGGTGCCCTGGGTCTTTAGGCCTGTCACCTGCTCCCTTTTCCACCAAGTCTTTTCATATGATTGTGATTTCCAAATAGGATCTGCATGGTAAGAGAATTGAGCTTTGCCACTGAGTCACTCAATGTCCTGGAGCAAATTCTGCTACCTGTAAAATTAGGTTAATAGTGGTCTGCCCAATTGTGCTTTTGAGCAGAACAAAGATTGCAAGATATATTGCAAATTAGAGATCTCAGGGCTACTGACTTCCTTGATGTTCCTTGCACAGGTTTCATTGTTTGCAGAACTCTTCAATGAAATGCTTCAAAGGGATTTTGGTGTCCGAATCTACAAATCACTATTGTCTCTTCCGGATAAAGAAGATAAAAAAGATAAAAAGAACAAAAAGGATGAGAAGAAAGAGAAAAAGGAAGAGAGAGAGGATGAAAATGATGAGCCAAAGCCTAAAAGAAGAAAATCTGGAGATGAGAAAGATAAAAAGGATGAGCGAGACGACAGGAAGGTCAGTGGCTAATTTACCAACAATCTTGATCTCTCTAGATTAAGAGCAGCTACGGGGCAGGGAGCACTATTTTTTCTAAACTTCATTCTTTTTATATTAATGTAGTCATATCTTTTCATAGTAATTGTATGGAGTAGTTGGTTTTTTCCCCCTTTTCGAGATTTTAAGTCTTTAAAATCAGTTTGACAAAAATGTACTGTTTGGCCCAACTGGAATATGTATTTTTTCTTGGCTGCTAATTCCTGTGTTTGAAGCCGGACCTGTATGTTGACCTTTGGAGACCTAAGCAACATAAGTTGGTCCCTTTTGTCACTTTCTACAAGTAGGAATCAGTGTTGAGCTTGGGGTGCCTGGTTTGTTCTGAGACCTTTTAGAACCCAGTTACCAAAGAACTACCTTGAGCTTAATAATGGTTTTCTGAGTCTTTTTAAATAAATGCTGCTGATCTCTGGATTGTGCTAACGTCTGAGAATTAATTACAGAGAGAAGATAAGAGGAAAGATGATTCCAAAGATGAAGATGAACTGGAAGATGATAATAACCAGGATGAATATGATCCAATGGAAGCTGAAGATGCTGAAGATGAAGATGATGGTATACTGGGGATGATTATGTTAATTAAAATAATGTGAATCTTTGTTCTGTCTGCAGAACTGCTGACATTCAATTCCTGTTATGCTTTTATGGCAGTTAGATTGAGATGTTTCACAAAAGTGTTTGATATGCCTTGTGTATCCAGTGTGAAAACCCAACCTGTTATATTTTCAATATTGCTAAACATTGTGGTACCAAAGTGGTCTACGAGAGAACTAATCCCCCCCACACACCTGCTTGAGTTTTGTTTTGCCTTTTCTTTTTAAGTTGAAAAATGGAAGCCCTTAAATCTCACTGAGGAATGAATTTCTTCATTAAAAGGTAAAATTGTAATGAAGCTGTAATGTGCTATGAATATGTTGGAAGTAACTTTTGTTTCCATAGATAGGGATGATGAGGAAATGAGCCGGCGAGATGACAGAAGAGAGGGAAACCGGCACTGCAAAGAGAGGGCTTCCAAGGATAAGGTACTTAGTGCTTATCAGTTAGTGATGATGCTGGAAGGCCATCCTACCAAATATGCCTTCTTCAGACTATACAGAAAAGCTTAACTTGAGCCCTGCGTTCTGTGCCTGTAACATCTTCTCTGTGGTGGTATCTAAAAGACACTATAAGGAGTTATCAAGCTGACAGCAGTCGTAAGATAAAGTATTTGAATGAAACTATGACCTTGGTACACCACTTACATATCTGGAAAACGCTGAATAGATTTTGATGTGATGTCCTCAGACTGAGTTTGCTTGCTCTTATGACAATTTGATTTCAGTGGGTTGGATCCAGTGATCTGCTCACTGAAGGACTGACAGTTCCCCACTTCCCCTTTCCACAGTAGTTTCTTCAGCCCCGGGAAAGTTGATCCCCAGGCTTTTAGGGCCTACACTGGGCAATAGCCAAGTGGGTGGAGGGGGCTGAATTGAGAAGGGGGGAAATTGCCCCTCTGCCAAAATATTAGAACTTGAGGGCATCTGATGAAGTTGATGGGCGATAGATTGAGGACAGACAAAAGGAAATACGTCTTTACTCAACAAGTGGTGTGAAATGTGCAATTTGCTGCCAGGGGATGTAGTGGTGGCCACAGGCTTTAAAAGGGGATTAGGTCTGTCAGCAGCTACTAGTCAGGGTGACTAAAGGAAACCTCCACATTCAGAGGCAGTAAACCTCTGAATACCAGTGCCAGAAGGCAACATCAGGGGAAGGCCTCAGCCTCTTTGCCCCATTATTGGACCTTCAGATGAACTGGCTGGCCACTGTATGCGACAAGACTAATCCATCAGGGCTGCTCTTACATTCTTATGCCCAGGGTCTACTGGGGGAGGGGAATTAAGGAGCCTTCCATTGATGAATTGTTGGACCTGCCCATTTAGCTTCAAAGGGATTAAATTTTCTTACCACTTCTTCCCTTGAATTGAGTTACAGAGCGGGAAAAGGAAGCCTTGCCTTCAAAGTTGGGGATGGTGGTGATAAAAGATTTGCCTTGAAAGTGCTTTAATTCTGTTAAGGTGTTTCGTGTGTGCAGTTCTTTTAATCAGTTGAGGGGAAATCTGTTTCAAAGTTTTCTAAGGCTACCGGGGCGTGAACCAGGGTCATCCATCCTCCTTTCATTTAACTGATACTCAGCCGCTTATAACTTTCCATGCCTCATGGAGCATTTTCAGTTGTCCTCAAGCCCTTTATTATGTTTTTTCCCCGTGTTTGGTTAATTTGTGTAATGACCTATGGACACATATTTGAATAATTTTCCTTTAATACTCAGTTGCTCTCCCCACATTATGTCCTTTCTGGAGCATTTTCAGCCTTTAGGTTGTTCTAAGGGTTTGTTCTTCAAGATGAACTAAGTCCTATTTTTCTGCATATCTGGAGATCCCCCTGGATATGTAGAGACCTAGACTTGGCTGTGGGTGGCCAGGTCCCTCCAAGTAGGCGGCAAGGGGATGGGGGGGGGGTGCTTACCAGGAGTAGGGAGGAATGCCTGGCATTTCAGCAGTGTGCATGCGTATTTCGGAAGTGATGTAGGCACATGGGGGGGCACTTTGGTTTTTGGGCAAAACTCTATGGTAGAATTAGCTTTACCATAGAATTTTTGCCCAAAAGACCAGAATGTCATCCCTGACGTGCCTACGTCACCTCCGGGTCACATACGCATGTTGTTGAAATGTCGAGCGTTCCTTCCTTTGGGGGGGGGGGCGTGATTTCCTCCCACCAGCCAGCTGGCTGGTGGAGAGGTGGAGCCTGGCAGCAGGAGACTCATCCCCCTATGGGGGGGGGGGAGGTTGGCCGCTCTACATCAGGGCCAGTTATTTCATTCTTTGGTATAGTGATTGCCAGTATTGAAAACTGTCTTAACTGGGCATGAAATGTGTTCTCTTGTAGGAAAAAGATAAAACTCAGATGATAACTGTTAACAGAGATCTTCTGATGGCTTTCGTTTATTTTGATCAATGCCACTGTGGGTACCTCCTAGAAAAGGACTTGGAAGAAATTCTGTACACACTTGGACTGCATCTCTCCCGTGCTCAGGTGTGTATCTGAAGCAGTTGTGTAGTGGTGAGCTTTGTGGGGAAGGCTGGTTTTTTCGTTTACGCTTGGATGTTCGACACAGTACAGTCCCAGATTTAACTGTATGCAACTGAAGTGTAACACCCCTTAATCTTCTGTCTGTGATATGATGATGAGAAATTTTATGGCTTTTTATGTATATCCTTTAGCTGGCTGAGGATAACTTTCTAGAGTCATTTATATGTTTGTGTTTAGGTAAGAGAGCGAAAAAGATAGGACGTGGTAAAAATATAGGTAAATTATCAAACCCTTTGTGCTTGTAGATTTAAAAATTGCCAAGTACAGTCACACTTAATGCTGTAAAAAGAACACTGTATCCCTATGTGAAAGATATGCATGTTTGCATGACACTTTGAAGATTTGCATTCCATTGATTTGCCAAGATGTATCTTTGTCTGCCGTAAGATCGTGCTCTCATCAGGGACGGCTTAGGAAAAAAGTTTGCATGACTTGAAGAGATGAGTGATTCCTGAAAATGTATTATTCAAAAAGGACAAGAAAACCAACTATCTGTTGAATCATGAACGGGAGTTCCCTTTAAAGAATGAAATGTGAAAGATCCAAGTTATTGGACTTACTTGCTTTAAGCTTATCAGTAGAATTGATAAGGGGATTTCCCTTTAAAGAGTGTGGTGTTTAAGACTTAGCACATAGCACTTGACTGTTTCAAGTCTATTAGTACTGAATGGGAATATGTGTTCATTGTTTACATAGTGGAATAACACTGATTGTTGGAAACAGTTTTGTATGTAATTGTATTTTTGGATTTGTAGGATTTTTGTATGTATTCTAGTAGGTTTCACATTCTGAATATTTTCTACAATATATGTAGCCAGATTTTGCACCGTGTGCTTTGTTATTGTGTAAAAAGTTTTCAATCAGAAGATACTTTCTGCATTTTAGTGTCTTAACACACTTTATTTTCATAATATAAAATGTATTGCTGTTTTTATTACTGATGGATTATCTGGTTTTCCATTAAACGGTTGCTGTCTCAGGCAGGCCTTCTCAAGATGCAGCCTAGTCACCTTTAAAAGCAACCAGCACCAGAGAATCCTTTGTGTTGCTCAGAGTGCTGATGGTACCTGATCTCTTTCATTGTTTCAGGTGAAGAAGCTGCTAAATAAGGTAGTCCTCCGTGAATCTTGCTTTTATAGAAAACTAACAGATACTTCTAAAGATGAAGAAAATCCAGAAGAGGTGGAAACTCCACAGGAAGACATGCTGGGTAACATAATGTTGTTAGTTGCGAAAGGCACTTGATGAAGATTGCGGGGACTTTGTAAAGAGGGTGGGGGGCAGGGAAAATGTGCATCTGCTGCCAATGAACAGCATCTAATTCCGGAAGCACTCCTCACTTCTCACAGTCAGGGTATATCATGCACTTCAGAGACAGCTGAACACAAACGGAATATTTTATGCATTGCTAAAGTGGTAAACACCATAGACTATATAAAATTCCTTGGGGATGTTACACAACATACTTTCCTTATATGTTGGTGGAGACTGGACATATTTGAATATGAAAAATCAGTGGAATTCTTGAGAAAAATGTGGAAGGATCAGATGCTTCCTCTACAGAGGGGTAGTGTGTTCTGGCAGGGTTCTCTTATTCTGTGCTGTTTATCCTACTGTAGGAAACCGTCTGCTGCTACCATCCCCTGCTATAAAACAAGAATCCAAAGGACCAGAAGAAAACATCGGGCTCATTGTGTACAATGGAGCTATGGTGGATGTAGGAAGTCTCTTACAGAAACTGGAGAAGAGTGAAAAAGCACGGGCTGAGATGGAACAGAAACTTCAGTCACTAGAAGAAAAGACAGGTGGGATGGTTTGATACAGATTGGGAGTATAACCTCTGTGGTTATGGGCTTCTGTTTCCCTGTGAGTTTTAAGAACAATCGTTCTAGTTTATCAGACAATGAGATCCTGCATTTCAGGTGCCCAATAGTTCTGGTATCTACTGGGGGTGATCTTTTGGGGAGTCTTTGGACAGCAATGGTGGATGTATGAGTGTCTCTGCATCTACTCTTCCTACCGCTGGAATGAAGCAAAAAGGAAATGCTTCAGCATCTCTCCCCAAAAACACAACCCCAAAAACACAAACAGCAGCTACGCATGACAGCATCCATATTGCCTCAGGGCAATATCTGAAGGGTCCTTGGGGGCAGAGCCATTTGCACACAGTTTCATTCTTGCAAAATAAGTGCGAGTTAACTTTAAGTAAAGTGCAAAATGTCCTGGAAAGCAGCTTTTAAAAATTGGCATTGATAAATTGAGAAAGCAGTGTATTGATTCCCACCATAAATTGATTCCAGCTTAAAAGGGGCTTTGGGGGATATTCATGGGATACATTGGAAAGGCCACCAGAATAGCAGCAGAACTCCTGCAGTACTTCGGATGCCATTTTGGGTTGAAGCAGCAGAACTGCAGTACTTCGGATGCCATTTTGGGTTGCTTTATCCTCCTTTCTCCCATTGTGCCATACGGCCTCACAACGGAGGCCCTTTGCCAAAGATTAGGCATCAGGTGGACACCTAATGACTGCCCAAGGGCATTGTTCTTTGTGGGCATGCTCAGTGCAGAAAGAAGAGACGCAAACACCGTGACATCTACTTGTGCTACTACGGTAACCCAAAATGACAACCAGCAGCTCAATGTCATCTTTTAAAGATTTTGGGTAGCCATAGCAATGCATAGCTTGCTTACAACATAGGACGAATGAGCATTGCAATAATGAAGAGGTGAAAGGAGGAAGGGAGGGGAACCCTGTGATTTCTCACTTGGAATGTATTTAAAACAAAAAGCTGCCACAGCAGCATCAAGGTAATTGGGAGTGCAGTCTCATCTGGAAGGGGGAAATGCAACAGCTTTGGGCTGATCAGTCACTTAACCCAACATCTCAGCCTTCTCTTGCAAAACCTTCAGTTTAGCAGTGCTCATCCAAGTGCATGTGCATTCCATGTACCTGTTAAGGAGGTCCACTATGTTGCCTGATCCAGACAAAAAGGAGAAATAGCACTGGGTATTATCTGCATATTGGTTTCACCTTACTCCAGATTTCCTGATGGTCTCACCCAGCAGTTTCATGTACATGCTAGATGGCATGGAAGGCAGAACAGACCCCAAGGGACCCCCATATATTTAATGCCACAAAGCATTAAATATATTCAAAAGGGAATTAGATAAGCATATGGAGCAGAGGTCCATCAGTGGCTATTAGCCACAAGGTATAGATAGGGGCTCTGGGGCAAGTGATGCTCTGTCTTCTTGGTGTTGGGGGGGGGGTCAACAGTGGGAGGGCTTCTAATGTCCTGGCCCCACTGGTGGACCTCCTGATGGCACCTGGTATTTCTGGCCACTGTGTGACACAGAGTGTTGGACTGGATGGGCCTTTGGCCTGATCCAACATTGGCGTCTCTTATGTTCTTATGTTCTTAAAGCAGACCTGTATACACACACATCACCTTTTGAAACCTGTCTGAACTTGCTGAAATTTCTAGTCTTGCATTGCAGAACTTAATGAAAAGGGTACTAGCTCTGTTCTGTAACTCATGAGTCAGCTGTGGATGCAGCACCAAAGATGCCCACCCTTTCAACAGTGTGTGTGTTCTGATACTTGAGAAAGAGTATAGAAAGATCCAAAGTGAAAGATATGTAGTGACTTTAAATTTGTTGGGGGTTTTTAGATGACGACGAAAAGACTATATTGAATTTGGAGAGTGTGAATAAAGGCTTGTCTTCAGAACTTAAAGAAGTCAAAAAGGACATTGGCCAGCTACAACAGAATCTGAAGGCATCGGAAGATATGAATTTGCAGTTTGAGGGGCAACTGAATAAGACAATCAAAAATTTGGCTACAGTTATGGATGAAATACACACCGTTCTTAAAAAGGTTAGAAAGATGTAACTCTTGACCTGTGAAACCAGTTCTAAAAGAAATTGTTGGATGATAAAGGGAGGAGGGTACTTCACACTTAAAGCTGCAATCTTTAATCATGAAGATGTGGTAAAACCCTTGCCGTTGACATAAGGACAGGGTGAGCTCCCTTTGCCCCTGAAACAAATTAGATGATATAAAAACTAACTGATCAGGGGAAACTGCTATGACTGAGCTTAACTTCAGGCCTTTCTTTCACACAGGGTTCACTAAAAGCTTTACCAAATATCCTTAGGAATGTATTTGTGCTTGTGTTTTTTTATTACTATAAGCAAGTAGGGTACTTGTCTGACTGGGATTCTTGAATAGTCAAGTTATTAGAACATCAGAGCAAGGGTTCTTGGACTTTGTACTGATGAGCCACCCTGAGTGTGTGTGTGTATGATGGGTGGGGAAGTCAAAACAGAATTGTGATGTACAAATAAAGCAGAACAAAGATAGTTTGCTCAGAAGTGCTCAAGTTGAGACAAAAGGGGGCAGTATAGTTTATTCTGCCCAATCATTGAATACTCTAAACGTAGGGCTCTTCTGTTAACTCACCAGCCCCAGTTAAAGTGTCAGTATACATCCAGGGTATATATAGGTCAAGTGAGTTTGGCTCCGAGTCCATGACCTCTAATGGAATAACTGCTGTTTGATTTAGCAAGCTGGAAACAGGATGACTGTTGAAAATAGGTTCATGTGTGAATTCACATGTTCAGCTTTAGTGGTACCCAAAATATAGTAATCTTCTGGTGTCACAGTGTAGCAGCCACTACTGGGGGAGAGGCGAAGGTCCTGGAAAACCAGTCACTGGTGTCCCACACAATCAGGTGGAAAAAAGAGTCCCTGCTGTCCCCACATGAATAAAGCAGCATGATGGGGGGGGGGGCTTCCCCAGATCAGCAGTCCCAATTTTGAGACTCCTACAGATCAGCAGCTGTTGCAACCTTTACCTTGTTGTCTTGTTCCTCTTTCCAGCAGGATATTGTGAAGAGTGAAGATAAAGATCAGAAATCCAAAGAGAATGGAGCAAGTGTATGACGAACTTGCTCTAGTAAAAATATGGGTGTTACATAATGTAATATAAATCATGAAACTGGAGTATATGAAAGTGATGCATGTTTAATTTTAGTAGTATAAATACCTTAGTCCAAGCAAGGATGTATAAAGTTTTATAAATGTGCGAGCCTGCTTCCAAGGATTGCTTGTAATTCATAGCTATCGGTTTGTTAGACACTCCTTGAGTGAAAATTAATTTTGCATTGCAAAATGTTTTAGGGTAAACTTTGTTATAGTTTGAACGCTAATAAAGTTCATCAACTTAACAGGAAGTAGCAAGTATTTAATTACCAATTTTTTCCTTTCAAATTAGTAGAACCAATTTTTCATTATTTATAGAAATGTCATTCTTAGGTTTTTATTTCAGTCTAAGTAGTCTTTTTAAATTTGGATATAAATCATTGCATGCGGCTTAATTTTGCAAGTAAAGATTTCTAAAGAAAACCTCAAATATCTTGTCCCCATTTTTCCCTCTTAAATTTTTTTCTGTCCCAAGCTGCTCTTATTACTGTTTTGATGCACAGTAATTCAGTTTTTAAGAGAAAAAAAAATTACGGAACTTAAATACTGGTAGGTGGAGATTTATATGAAAAACAAGACTTTTAGTATTTTGTACTCCTTGAAATGTTCTGTCCCTTCATTAATCTATTCACTTGTGTTTTTTTCTTTAAAAGTGGTGTATTGCAATGTATTTTACATGCCAGCCCAGTAGATGTCAGTATAATGCTTTATTTGGAGAAATTGCTGTTCGTTTTATATTGGCTTTCATTAAATTGTCAGCTTTATCAAGGGCCACAAAATGAGAGATTCTACCCATTATTAAAATGTATGGATTTTTTTAAAAAGGACATACCTGCCTTTGGCAGTAGGTGTAGGTTTGTGAGCATCGTCCACATCTGGCTGGTTTCACACAGGTGTATTATCACTTGATGATCAGGTGATGAATTGCATGCGGAAATGAGCTATCAGACACCAGAAATGGAAATCTTATCTTCTGTCCTCTTAAACAATGTTTTTCAATGAGGTCAGGAGATGGACATTCAGCTAGAACTCATCCACTAGTCCTTTGCATCATCCAAATTCTAATATTTTATGTTTGTTGCTTCCCAGAGTTCTTTTCCTCAGCAGCATGTCAGGACTTCAGCTGCACACTGAAAATGGAATCTCTTGGGCTCTTCCTTCTCCCTTTAAACTATTGGAAGGTGAAAACAATGTGAACTGAACAGAATTGTGATTAGGTCCCTGAAAAAGCTGACATCTGCATTGAGTGGCCAGGGCTTACTGCACAAACACACAGACTAAAATATTCACAAAATGGAAAATAGTAGTACAAGAGATGATGAAGAGATCTTACAGCAGTTTGATCCTTGGAGTTTCATGATCTGCTGTGAGTGTTCTTCAGCATAAGCTATTAGCAGACAGCAGGGAAAGGGATCTGAATGGGATTCCTGACTGCTCTTTGTCTGTCATCCCTTCAGCTGTACAGAATTACTGTATTCATTGCCTCACTTTCTTCTGCAGAACTATAGCTGAAGCCTTTGTGGCTGACCTCAATAAAAGCCTGATAATGTTTGTGCCAAACACCGGAATGCATACCAGCTGCAGGTCCTCTTAATTGCTTTGCTTCCCTTCTGAAACTCCCCGAGACAGAGTCTTACGTTTCTCCTGCTGGTTAGCTTCCATTGCATGCAGTTTAACGGGCGATGGGGAAAGCTGTGCAGAGCTGTTTCGGGGTTTAGGTAGTCTGTGTGAACTTAACTGTGACCCTGTAATTGCTGAAGTAAGAGGTGAACTTAAATGTGTGGATGATGCTGAAACTGTCAGAATCAGTGCAGAATCAGAGTCTTGTCTCAGGAAAAGAAAACACCAAGGACAAATAGTTCAGTTCAAGGAAAATCAAAGCTACGGTGGCCTGTAGCTGTATGTCCTAACTCTGACATTGTACATTCCAGATAGCTTGATTAATCTGGTTATCAGGATAGTTAAATGTTGACTATTAGCCTGTTGCTGTACTGTCTGTCTCCAGCGAAAGTCCCTTTAAACATTTGGTCATTCCTAAAGTAAACAAAGAAAGTTTATGTTCAAGCAACTCATCAGTCGTGTAGGTGGTTGGTCTAGGGTAGAGTGCAGACAATGGGAGAACGCCTGGTTGAGCAACTACCATGAACTAATTCAAGAGACGGAAGTAATTTCATATGAAATGGGGTCAATATGTAGTGATGGTGGCATCTCATTTATCATCTAGAGTTAAAAAAGTTTTCTCACACAATGGAAATGTAATGGACAGTTTTTAAAAGAGATGGGTAAGTCTGACCTGTGTGCTGAAAGAAAAAAGCTCTCACACAAACTTTGATGGCTTATTAGAATTATCTCATAAACCAGTGTTGATGCTCCTAGGTTATGAAATCAATTCTAACAGCTGGTCTTTATGATCAACTGGTTATTCCTAACCTCTCGTTTAGAGAAAAACTATGCAAAATGCTGCATCAATTGTATTTGTCCCCTCTGAGGCTTGTTAGGATGTACAGGAGCTCTACAAATGATTGCAGGTTCTCTGATGAATCGGGCTGACTCTACATAAGATAGCTATGGAGGTCCTTTTGGCAGGATTTTGCTTTTGAAGTGCAGCGTACAATTGAATTACTCATGTTTCGTTATCTTGTATTCATTCTACAACATTGCCACACCATAGCTCTTCATATGTGAAACACAGCTAGATTAAGTTTTGAGAGCCAGTTTGGTGTAGTGGTTAAGTGTGTGGACTCTAATCTGGGAGAACTAGGTTTGATTCCCCACTCCTCCACTTGCAGCTGCTGGATGACCTTGGGCAAGCCATAGTTCTGTCAGAGCTGTTATCCCAAGGACAGCTGTGGAAAGAGCTCTCTCAGACCGCCTACCTCACAGGGTGTCTGTTGTGGGGAGGGGAAGGGAAAGGAGTTTGTAAGCCGCTCTGAGACTCCAAGTGAAGGGTGGGGTATAAATCCAATCTCCTCCTTCTTTTGCTAAGGGCTGGCAGTGTAAACTGCTTTCCCAGAAAACTGGGTTAACAGGATGAAAGAAATTTATTTTTTACTTACAGCACAATAATTGTTTAAACTACTCCAGAAGTGGCCAAGGTCCCTTTTACAGGTAGTCTTGCATATTTTAGAGGATCACACCGGGGTGGGAAACATTTCACAAAAGTCTGAGTGCAGATTCACGTAAGCGTGTCCATTAGTCCGTGAAATTGAGGTGTATGTACAATGGACATCCTAAGTATCCCAACCAAAGCCTGCTTTTCAGCAGGGGCAGTGCACAAGTTCACCTCTAAGGGAAAATGTTCTACCTTGCAGAGGCATGTGAACAATGCTGCACTGGGCCTTTACACTGTAGCATACTTCACGAAACTATAAATCCATGCTTGGCCCTGTAGTAATGTGGCAGCTGCCCTCTTGAGTAGGGTCTCTCTCGTTTTTGCTGTCCAGTCAGAGATGACGTATGGCAACCCTGTGAGGTTTTCAAGACAAGAAATGTTCCAGAGGGTGGGCTTGGCCGTTGCCTGCCTCTGCCTTGTGACCCTCGATTTCCTTGGGGGTCTCCCATCCAAGTACTGACCAGGGCCGACCCTGCTTAGCTTCCAAGATCTGATCAGATCAGGTGAGTCAGGGCTGTCCTGGTCAGGGCACTGTTTATGTAGCTGCCTTCAGATTGCTGCACCTTTTAGACTTTTTGTTCTTCCCTTTCTCTGGTGCTCCAGCTGGTTTATATGAGAGAATGTATGTGAAATGGGTATTGTATTTTTAAATCAACAAAATAGAAAAAGAGGTTGCTAAAATCATTCCCTTATGTGCATACATTCACTCTCGAGTCTGACACCGCAGATAGATTGTGTTTATACAAAGCAGTAGTTCTCAAGTGCTTTGGTACAAGTAACTGGTGTCATATGCATCTGAACGGGCCGAGCCTGCCTTTGGCAGGGAGGGCAGGGTATAAATCAAATAAATAAATAAAATGAATAAATATATTTGCTGTCTGTATGATATTGCAAAGTTTGCAGGAGGAAAGCTAGAGTGACTTAAAGTCTCCTGCTGATTCTCTCTCTCTCTCGCAGGATTGAGGAAGCAACATCAGCTCTACACTGTGTAATAACTGCCATCTCACAAAGGGATGATTTAAGTCATAAAGTTGTCTAGGTTTCTTTTCAAGATTAAACTAAGATTAGTTTGTGTCCCTGTTGAAAAATGGGCAAGTGGTAGGCCAATTTTTAAAAACGCACCTTGAAGTCATAAATTATTTTAGCATTGCCAAAAGTCTACATATACTGAAAGGAATTCAAGTCAAATCATTATAGAAAACACTGTTTTCTCCACCCCTACCTTGTTTTAAGGCCTTTGAGCCATCACTATGCCTGATAATAAACCGGCTGACTCCCGTATGGATAAGGAGAGCCACACAAAGGGACCACCAGTTGGCACAGAACATTGAGACCTGCTGTTCTGGCCAGGCCTGATGAGATAGTGGAGATTATGTTCTTTTAGAAGCTGTACACTTTTACCACAGAACTCCCAGTATCTTGTCTGAATAAGCGAAGCAAATTCGCACGGGGGTGGGGGGGATCCATCTGCCCAAGGCTCCAGGGAAAACAACCACAGCATCTGAAGGGTGGGGTTTCCAAATGGTTTCCCTACCTTACACCCCCATATTGCCCAAATAAACAAAGTCTAGGTGGGAGAACGGAATATTTTGAAATGACTCTCCTCTTCCCAGCCTTTCCCTTTATCTCTCTCGGGAGCTTTGATATGCGGCCCTAAATGCAAAAAGAAAACCTATGTTCTCAGAAATCGGATGAGGTATTTGTAGAATTTTGCTTTCTTTTGATAACGGGGCTTGAAGTGTTAAGTGTCCTTTGTAGGAGGAAGAAGATAAAGGGGTCATTTACTTACATGCCTTGACTAAAAATTTAAACAATGAGCCAGTGTTTCTATTCTGCTAAGATAAGGTCTGATACATTTAAGCCTGAGGTTCATATTTTCCACAGGACAGTGACATGTTTATGAAACTATATTCTCCAATAAGCAATATTTTACTTTTGTCTTAACGTTTTGACACAGGCATTATAAAGTGAACTCCCCTAGTCCTCCCTTCCGTATACCTTCCTTCCCCTTTACCTGATTCCCTACTTTTTCTCTTGTGAATATAGGGATGAGGGTCTTTTACATCCAAAGTCACTGGGGGGGTAAGCCCCCTATTTATACATAGCA